ATTATCAATATAAAAAATCAAAAATAATAAATAAAATTTTCTAAACTGCCAATTTAGAAAAACAAGAAATGAGAATTAAGATTCTTGTATTATTGATATTGAAAATAAAAGCAATAAAACTAACTGTTATGTATATTACCAACATAGAAAAATTAAAATTAAAACTAATTGTTATTTATATTATTAATATAGAAAAATGAAAAATAATGAATAGGATTTTATATAATATCAAATATAGAGCAAATATTGACTGTACTTGTTCTAAAATAAGACTGAAGTTTATGTGCAAAAAAACGAAGCAAGGTAGCCTATCAGACTGATCATTTCCATGTGTATAAGAGATATTTGAGAAGTTTGATTTAATTGAAATAAATCTATAGTATTAATAAGCATTTCATATAGGTCTATGTCATTATCTATAAATAGAACACAAAATTACCTACTAGAATATTATGTCTCCCAATCTCTTTGATTTAAAAAGGAGAAAGTATTGTTTTGTTTCTGACTCTCATCTTCGAGTTGTTTGACACATAATTAAAGGTCTCATACCGTTTTACACGTATTTGTTTTTTGTCGATAGAAGAAAAGAAATAATACTAAAATGTACTTTCTTCCAATTGCACTGAGACATTAAACATATTAAAAATACATCACATTACATGTAATAAAAATGACAATTGATTAAATAGTATTAAATTTAATCAAGATCTCGATTATAGCTAGATTCTTCATAGATAAATTAAAAAGGATGAGATTATTTAAATTATTTTTAGGGAGTTTATAAAACTGCATGACATTTTTTATTAACTTCATCAGTTCTGTAACTGTCCATTCAAGATATAATCATAGAAGTATTGTTTCAAGTTTAAAGCTCAAATCAACATCAATATCAACCTTTAGAAAATTCTAGACAAACAAAAAAAAACTTTCTTCTAGGATTTAACCAGTCCAGAATGCGATATAGTAACAATTTGAACAAGAAATCTTCACACTTATTGCTATTGAGAATAGCTAAAATCATGGTAAAATCTTTACGATCGTTGCTTTTTTGTGAGAATCCTCAAAAATTTATACCTATTGAATAATTTACAAAACATAAGCTTGCAAACATTTTAGATCAAGATTTTCATAGGACATTCGTATTGTCTGGTAAAGAAGCGAAAATACTTAAATTTAGAAAGTTCGAAATCGATCCTTGATCGAAACTGCTATTGTTTAAAAAACCATGTTCCATACACCGACACCCTGTTAAGTTGAAAATTTGTAATACATTAGAAATGAATTCAAAATAAAAGATTTGATTGATTCGTATATAGATTATTGTTTGTCCTACAATGTAGAATAATGAACATGACAGATTCTTCAAATATTCTTGAACTTGGGAAAGATTTGTTTTTGAGTTCTTTTCATCTACTAAAATTCGAACTTACGTATTATTTTATCTAAACTTATCTTATTTAGCACTTCGATTAGCTTTTCTACAAACTACTTGTTTGTTTGAGATTCAGGAATAAATTACTCAATAATAAGTATGATCCAAAATTCATGGCATAAAATACTTTCGAATGATGTATGATTTATATTTGTCACAAATTCGTAAATGGAATAAGAAAGAAAAATACTTACACAAAAAATTTAATTTTTTTACATGAATCAGTCAAAAACGTCTTATGCATGGTAGTTAAGTATAATTAACTATTGTTATTGTCTAGCAAGATGTTTTTAACGAATTCATATAAAAGTGGCAAATTTATTTTGTCTCATTTCACTCAGAAATGAGTGACGAACATAAATCATACACCGTTTCCTATCAACTGATAACAAAATTGTTTTTCCTTACGTTCAAATTCTATTATAACTCATTTTATTGTAAAATCCAAACAAAAAAACATGAAATGGTTTTTAAATATATTTCAAAATCGAACTAACGAAATCAGTAAATATGTTGGAAAAATTCCACATAAAAGAAAATTTCATTTACAATAAAATTCGAGTTAATCACAAATTTTCACATTACCAGTTAAATTTTAGTTAGTTTTAGTAAAACTAATGATTCTTACACAAAATATTTCAGAAAAATCAACAATGTTTTGTTTTCAACATTGAGAAAAACCAGATTCTAATCAAGTTCATAAGTAAAAAGCTTTTGTAATTTAGAGCAGTTCAATATTGTTTAAAACCAATGAGAATGAGTCATTTTAATGAAATCAATGTTCATTTCTACTCCTTACTTTCGTTTCCATTTCAGTCCCACTACGTGCAAGTTCCATTGATATTCATCCGAATGCAAAATGGTCACAGAATGGTATCACTGTTGCTGCAGGAAATGGAAAAGGCAGTAAAACCAATCAACTCGATCGGCCATGGGGTTTGTATGTCGATGATGATCAAACGATTTATGTCGCTGATGAGTGGAATCATCGTATTGTGGAATGGAAATCTGGTGCAACGAATGGAAAAGTAGTTGCTGGTGGAAATGAAGCAGGGAATGGAGCTCATCAATTAAATCGGCCACGAGATGTGATTATCGACAAAGAGAGCGATAGTCTCATCATCAGCGATAGAGGGAATAAAAGAGTAGTTCAATGGCCTCGTCGAAATGGTACTCGTGGCGAAACTATTATTTCGAATATCGATTGCATCGGTTTGACAATGAACGAGAATGGATCTCTCTATGTCGTTGACTGGAAAAAAAATGAGGTGAGACGATATAAAATTGGTGATACTCAAGGAACAGTAGTTGCAGGTGGTAATGGAGAAGGAAATCGTCCCGATCAACTCTTTCTTCCCCACTACGTGTTTGTCGATCGAGATCATTCAGTTTATGTGTCTGATAGTTGGAATCATCGTGTAATGAAATGGGAAGAAGGTGCAAAACAAGGCATTGTCGTAGCCAGTGGTCAAGGAGAACGAAATAGTCTTACACAATTGAATCATCCTCAAGGAGTCGTTGTCGATCAATTGGATACTGTCTATGTGGCTGATGGTGAGAATTATCGAATCATGCGTTGGCCAAAAGGAGCCACACAGGGAAATGTCATTGTTGGTGGAAACGGTAGAGGAACACAGTCGAATCAACTCGCTTCTCCCACAGGTTTATCATTTGATCGACATGGCAATCTCTATGTCGTCGATTACTGGAATAGTCGAGTACAAAAATTTAATATCGAATGAACTCAATACGATGATGAATTTTATTTTCTTTTTGTTCTCTTTCTCTTTCAAATAAATCGTGATTGAATGGAAAAATGAATTGAAAGTTATTCTATTTGCACGCGCGCGCGACTAGGAACCATCCTGGTGGAGCCGTGGCGAGCGTAAAGCTCATGCACGCGCGGGAAGACCCACATGCATCCATCCGATGTCATATGTCAGTGAGTCGGGGGGCCCGATCGTGTGCCACGCACACCAAGACAGTTCCTGGCCAGGCTTTTAGGGACTACCCGGAAGTCCTTCTTATGAAGCGAAACCCTAATCTCAACGTACCTCACTCACCCTAACTATTCTCATCACAAGAAAAAAAAAAAAAAGAAAATAAAACTCACTCATCGATGTTCATAACTAAAAGGAAAAGAAAAAAATATTAAACAATGAAGAAAAAAAAAGATAACTTATCCCTATTATCTATTTCTTCATAAGTCAATGGCTAAAATATAAAAACATATATAAAAAAGATCATAGGAGGACTTACAACCCTCCAAATAATCGTAAAAAGAAGAAAAAAAATTAAAACTAATACCTACGTTTTTTTTTATTGTGTTGATTTGAATAATTTTGTATCGTTGAAGCCAATCTAAAATATAAAAAGAAAAGATTAGAATTTGATTCAATAAATTGAATGATTTTTACATAGAAAATCATTCATGTTTATATGTTAAAAAATCGATATTTTACTTTTGTTTTCGTCAGAGAGTGATCAAAAGGCGATAATAATTAAGCTATCATCAATATACACACATACATTGAGATAAGGACACTTAAATTTTTGATCCCGGAAATTAAGCACAATTGATCCCGGTTATAAATTTTCAAAAGAAAATGCGCAAATGATACCGATTTTTTTAAATAATTTTTAATTACTTATATAATAACACAAGTGATCCCGGAAAAAGCTATTTTTTTTCTCGAATAACATAATTGATCCCGGAATATCAGCAAGTTATGGCACCGTCTTCTAATCTGAGGCTCATTTAACAGCTATGCGGTCTCACTTTAACCAGAGGATTTAATTGCACAAAACATTTATATTATGGAACACACAAAAACAAATTACAGCAGAACAGCTCGACAGAAAAAGAAAATAATCTAGCAAAAAATATAATCGTATACGTATTTTAATCATTGGATAATGCTAATTTAACTTTTTTTGGTCTGCCTTCTCCTTTTGGGTGTGGGGTATGGGTGTCGATAAGTCAGGGTCATGAAAACACACCCACACCCACACCCCACACTCACACCCAGTCACACCCACACCCCACCCACACCCTAATATTCCGGGATCAATTATGTTATTCAAGAAAAAAAATAGCTTTTTCCGGGATCACTTGTGTTATTATATAAGCAATTAAAAATTATTTAAAAAATCGGTATCATTTGCGCATTTTCTTTTGAAAATTTATAACCGGGATCAATTGTGCTTAATTTCCGGGATCAAAAATGTATTTATCCTAGAGATAAATTCAATCACAAATATCTCAATGTATATGTATGGGATAATGCTTAATTGATATATGCAGTCATTATGTCATATTATCATTGATCATCAATGACAACCTGAGCAATGACGACTTACGGACGAGAGAAGAAAAGAAAAAAAAAATATTGTCGTGACCTATATTATTTTTTCATTCTTCTCTCACTTCCATATTCAGTTGTGAGCACGAAACAGACGAGCATACAAGATTGAAGTATGTTCATATCATTCACTTCTTTTTTGTTCTGTTCGATAGATCAACTTTGGGATATCAACAAACAGTTTATTTTATTTTAATTCAATTTAAATGAAATCATTGAAAAATGATCGATATTGGATTTCAACAGTTCATTCAACATTAAATTTATTTGCTGCTGGTAAGATTCTTCTCATTTTCAAAAACTAAAAGTAAAATAAAATATTTGTTTGCTAGGTCATGATAATCAAATATTCACGACGATTGGAAATTACAACATCAAAAGGTGTTCCTCTAATGTAATTACAAAGGTAAATTTTTTCAGAATTTTTTCATATAAATTAATTGTTTTATTTTATTTAATAATATTGTTGGTGCTCCATGTTCGAAAGATGCTGATGAATCAAGAAATTCAATATAAAACTCTGAATGATATGATTTATTCGAATTGAACGTTAGGATCTTAAAAAGATCTAACATTTCAAAAACAGAAGGATATTTTATCTAAATTGTTCGATATTTTAAATGTATATTCTTTTCTAGTATGTGAAGGTCGTCGTTCATCTGATTTAAATGCCATAAGGGTTGCTTTAAATCCTTTTTATGGATTTTAATACAACAAAAAAAAATTTAATTAGCAAACTGTAATGAAATATTTTATGCTGATAGGTCTTGATTAATTCGTGAAAATGGTCATATTAATGTATATGATGCTTAACAAAAATGTTCATTAGCAAGTGTAAGAAAAGGCAAAGTTGAATATACAATGCGATCAAATGATATGAATTACTTATCATTATTAGGATGATTCAGGTGTTTTTCATCATACAACATCAAATCATATTAAGTATGCATTTATCAATGGTGACGATGGAATTATTCATATACTTGATTTATATATTTGTATAACAAAAGTTAAAGTAATAGAAAATACGATGAAGTAAAATTTACAAATTTCTTTTCAAAAATCTTCATCTTGAAAACAAATGATGCAAAAACAAGATTTGGCTTAGCACTTGAATATAGAAATATTGATGTAAATTATTTGTGGTTTCTTTTAAATAGTTTCAATCATCTGTTTTGAAAAATGATGAAAATTGGTTTGAAAAGTTTCTTATTGTTTAGCTGAAGTACGAAAAGATGTTAGTAGACAATTTCAAATTGCAATCTTATTAGGGGATGTTGAAGAATGTATTAAATTTCGTAGACAATGCAATCAAAGTAATATTTTATGTTTTTTCTCTATGAGATTGATTTATTTTATATCTTTTTTTTATACAATAGAATCATTTGATGAAAAAAGTAATATATTATGGATAAAAAAATACTCTCATATTAATACTTCGTCCGAGAGGATTTAAAAAAAATTAAAGCAATTTAGAAAGTTTTATTTTTCGTTTTCTAATATCCTCAATTGAAAGTCTTGAAAACTAGTTATAGATTTTCATGTGAATATATCAATTTTTTGAACTATTAAATAATTTCTAAACAATCTTTAATTGTATTCAACACATCATTTATCTAAAGAGTTTTCTGTACTGTTGTATAAAGAAGTTTATGATGATTCTCGAAGTTTATTGCGACATTGAATGATAACATGCTTTTTTTAAAAGACATTTCAAATAATCACCATGTCATAGTTAGTTTTGTTTATTTTCTCTGATTGATATTCATTAGAATGTAGATTAAAAACAAAATAAGAAGACTTTTCATATTCTGTTTCAAAAAAGGAATAAGTCGGTAGACTAAGATTTTAACAAAGTTATTATTACTTATTCTTTGTTTAATTGATATGTTAGATATGAAATAATAAGATAGACATACATTTAATCAATATTAATCTCGTGTTAAATTTAGTAATTCAAAATAAAATATTTATTTTAGATACCTGATATAAATCTAAATGCTAAATTAATTTTACCATCATGTCCAATAAGTCAACAAGAATCAAAGCAAATTTAATATCAAAAACATAACAGAAAAGTTTGCTGTAAATCTTCATATTGATGAAACAGCAACAAGTGGTTTAGATTGGGTTTATGATGAAGTACAAATTGAAAGTGATGAAGATGATCTTAATAAAGAAAATCTTAATAATAATCAAGATGAACAGGACGATGGTTGAGGTGATACTGAAATTGAATTATCACCTGATCTTGTATGTTTTATTTAAATATATTCACGTTCACGTACAGCTTTTACAGCACTTCCATCATTACCATCATTAGATGCATATTTCATTAAGAAATTGGTTTGTATTTATTTGTTTATTTTAATTATTAAGACGTGAAGCCCATTCACCAAAACTATTTTATCCAGCAGTTGGATTAAAATTAGAAGAATTAGTTCGACGTCGTCAAATCGCTTATCGTTTAAAAAATAATGGAAAATTTCAAAATCAACAATCAATTGAAATATGTAAAGAATGTATTGTTGGTTTACAAATGTCAATGGCAAAAAAAAGATTTAGCAAAACATGATGAAAAACGTTCATGTGAATTAGCTGCTTATTTTACTCATTTACAATTACAACCAATACATAAAATCATGACATTAAAATCTTCACTTAATCAAGCATTTAAATTAACAAATTATAAAACTGCAACAAACTTTACCAAACGTTTATTGGAATTGGAACTAGTATCTGATGTTGCTCAATAGGTTTTTAGCTTTAGTATTAATCTTTCATTTTCAAACCAAATATTCTCATTCTTTCTTGACTTCAACTTTGAAAGGTTTTAAAATAAACCAAAAAAACAAGAAAGAAAACATATCTTTAATGCTTTCAAGATATTTCAAATCTGTTGATCGAAATCTTTCATGTTTTTTTGATTTATTTGAAAACAATTGAGTTTATTCTTTGTTAAATGAAACATAATTTTGATTGAATTATTTTAGAAGACGAACAAAAAACAATAAAGACTTATTTTTTTTGTGTTCTTTTGTTTAGACACGGAAAGTATTAAGTGTTCGTGAAAAAATTCCAATTGATGAACATCCATTAAATTATGATGAATATAGTCCATTTAATATTTGTGCAGCATCCCATGTACCACATTTATCGGTAAGAAATTTAAAGATGAAATCGAATTTAATTTAAAGTAATCTTTAATTCTTGTTTAGTGAAAATTCATTATCTGGTACAGCCCATTTACCGGATTTTATAGGACAATTATATCGTGTTACAAAAGCAACTGAAATTGGAAAAGAATCTATTTGTCTTAGGATTTCAATGAGTCAATTTTGTTAGAATAAAGAAAAAAAAGAACTGTTTGTTTAATTATTATTAACTTTTAATGCATATATTAATCATTTTGAAAAAGTAACTTATCATTAGAACGTTTTTCTTTTATTTCAAGATAAAGAAATCCTTTTCTAAATCGAAAATTTAAAATCAATACATTTGTTTGAAATAAGTTTACTTCAGTAGACATTGAAATTCTATGATAATATACAAGAATAAGTAATCTCGATTTATAAAATGACATCAATGCAACTGAGTACTTTATAATTGTTTAAGAAATTTTATCGACATGATTTCATTTGATATTCGACCTTTGCAATATCTCGATTGACTCACTCAATTAGTAGCCTACACGCATCTATTCAATATTCATACCGCCAGCCTTTTCTTGGTCACGTTTAACTATATAATGAAGTCATTAATAAGACTAAGAGATAATTAAATGTCTAAAGAACTACTTTTCGTTTATACATTTCTTCACATTTGAATAAAAATAAAAATGAACAATGAGAAATAACTTTTCATTCTAAAAACTAAAATGGAAGATAGCAATGATGATTTTCCATTCAATGGTTTATTTTCCCCAATTGAAAAAATTGTCACTGATTTCGATCGACTTTTCTCCTGTTTCTCAACTACAGAGTTTCAAAGTAAAAACAAAACAAAAACCTATTCTAAAAACGAATTTTCTTAAATTAATATCTTTTGTAGATAATCATTATGGTGATGAAAATCTTGATTCTACTATAGAAAAGCTTGTTAGCGCAGCTCCTACGGAGCTGAAATGTGGAACTCACGTATACCTTTAGCTTTGTTACCTGACGCATCATCTGTATACTGAAAGACTTCTCGTCAACTATAGTTGTTTTCCTTGA